AGCCAAAGTGCTAAGCGGCTGCCAGATGTGCCTATTCATTTCCACATCACACCTATTCGCTTCTTCCGGCCAAGCGGGTTATTAAGGCTCCTGAGATTTTAATTTATAGCCGGCTGTGAGTTTTCTGCCTTCTAATTCATGCTCAGGGCGGAGACGAGAGGGGTGATGGTGGCTGTGGGGGTACCGATGGGGTGGAGAGCACAGGGAGGCCAGTTCCTCCCTCCACTGCAACTGGTTTGGTCTCCAGTGAGTTGCCTGAGCGAAGCCTCCGCTCTCTGCCTCCAAACAGGGTCAATCATCACTCTGTGCCCCCACAGCGAGGGGACAGACTGCCCCAGGTTAGGGGCTTGCTCCTGGCTGTTGTCAGGTACCAGCATTGCTCCACCCTGAGACACTTGGGGGTTCTGTGGCACTTCAACCACCCATGCTGTGATAACCAGAGCCAGCATCGAAGCAAACCCTCCCTGTGTGCTGTGGCATGACTCGATGCAGGGGTTCTGCTCCCGGCTGCGGACCCCGTGCAAATAGCCCCTGGAAGCCGGGAGAGATGCTGGGCCATGGCCAGACGCTGGCAATGCAGGTCAGCATCTGAGTCAGGCACATCCCTGGCGCAGGGTCTGCTATGGTGCTATTGCAGGCACCCTACGGGTGTCTGACACCCACCCATCGGAAGCCAACAGGTGCATGGGCAAGGCCCTGTGAGCAGAGCCAGGATGTGAGTAGCTTGGGGGCACATGTCCTCTTTTATAGCTGCAAAGCTCTGGCCATGTGGGATAGGAAGAGACACTGAAAATGTGCAGAAAATCATGGACAATCCACACTCAATTCAGTTTCTGAGTGTCCCCCATGAAAACCTCCATGTAGCAGGAGGGCAGGAAGCGGGAGCTCAATAAAAGCAAGGGAAAGCACTGAATTGTCGTCTGCAGCTCAAGGAGAAGCTGTTGCTAGACAGAAGTAAAAGCCGTCGCCATCAGCTCCCATTGGCTCAGCCCCACTCCAATGATGGGCTTATCAGTTACCTGCTCTTGCAGCTGGCTGGAAAAAAACTCATTTGACAATGGTTTCCCTCTGATAAAAAAGCCCATTGCTGGATTCGAGGGTTCGGGTTAATCATTATTCAGGGTCGTTGAGACAACGGATGAGTTTTCTGCAGATTCTTCAATTATTATGAAATTTAACGTAAATGGTGAGCCAGCCCAGCTCTCCTTCGCCCCCCTAAAGATGCTCAGCCTCCCCGCATGAGCACCAGCAGGCTGCTCGGGTGGTAGACCAGAGTGATGGTTGGCTGCTTTCAGCCATAGCAACTCCCTGGCATATAGGTGAATATTCACAAACACCTGTGAAAATCCTGATTAGCTCTTGAAGGTCACCGGCTACAAACAGGATGAAAATTGTCATTCAGATTATTCAGAACAAACATCGCTTCATCGGCAGGGAGCGGGTTGCCACCACTCCTCGTCAGCCATGGTGGGGTTTGCTCCTCAGCAACCCTGCCTTGCGGGGCTGGGGGGCTGCAGAGCACAATATCAGAGTTTCTCCAGCCCTTCAAATCTGATATAAAGGGGGATTGACACCCCTCAAATTTGTTTCTCAGCTTCCCCAAGAGCTGGAAATCACGGTACTGAAGTAAAGCTTGCAGGCACGTAGGCACCAAAGGGCAGCCGGCCTTTGCCTGCGTTGCTTTCTTCAAATTTGCCCCCAAAGCAGGGGGGTATTTCAGCAGGGGATTTAAATCAGTGTAGTGGCAACGGGAACAAGCTCTCAGAGGTGGCCTGGGACTTTCCCAGCACCTCCTGCCACCATGCAAGCCTGGGCTGTGCTGCCAGGAGGGCACACAGGCAGACGTGCAGGCAGGCAGAGGAGCTCTGCCGTGGGCAGGCAGGGAAAAACCTGCCCTGGATCACAGGGTAGAGAGCTTAGACAAATCTGTCCCAGGCTTACTTATGGAAGTGGGTCTCAGTAAAGTGTTTGGATGGTCAAGACTTCAGGAATTGGGGTTTTTTTCCTTAATTACGCCTTCCTCTCGCTGCTGGCTGATGGCAAGGCAGGCTGAGTCACAGGCTGATAAAGCCTCCCTGTCTTCCACCTCTTCTTGCAGCTTTCTCCAGCCTCACCCCTGCACACCCATGTCTCACATCAAGCCATCACGTGGCTTAGGGCAAGTCAGTGCTATGGGGTGGCAGGACAGGGCGGGCTGGGGGGACAACAAGAGGGGGTTCATGTGGACAAACAAGCTGGTAGCCATGGGGTGCCCCATGCAAGCCCCTCATGAACCCACGTAGCCCCCGAGGGGATGCGGTTGTACAGGCTAGATTATACGGCCATGAGCAAATCATCCCTTCACTGTGCCCTTCCTCCGGGTCTGCATTCCCAGGAGCAGAAAGCAGTGGGGCTACATCCGCTTTGGGATGCCACCATCTTCTGACAGTGCTGTCTGCCGACCCGCTGAGCTCCTGTCGACTCTCCCACAGCTCTGCTTCCCTCCTGCCACCCCGTGAGGGGTGGAAATGGCTGAGAGGAGGAAAAGGAGAAAAACCTTTGCCAGCCGTGTTCCTCCTGCACCTCCCCGGGTACCCCCATGGGGTTCAGGTCCCTCCTGTACCACCGCCCCGGGGTCCTGCTGATGTTGCACCTGGGGCTCAGCTGACCTGCACCCCGAGGCTGGCACAGAGGGTGGTGCCAGCTGTGTTTTACAGCTTGCTGCGTCAGGAATGTGCCTGGGACAAACTGCCACGCAGGATTTAAAGACCTACCATAGGCCATGTCTCACATCAAGCCATCACGTGGCTTAGGGCAAGTCAGTGCTATGGGGTGGCAGGACAGGGCGGGCTGGGGGGACAACAAGAGGGGGTTCATATGGACAAACAAGCTGGTAGCCATGGGGTGCCCCATGCAAGCCCCTCATGAACCCACGTAGCCCCCGAGGGGATGCGGTTGTACAGGCTAGATTATACGGCCATGAGCAAATCATCCCTTCACTGTGCCCTTCCTCCGGGTCTGCATTCCCAGGAGCAGAAAGCAGTGGGGCTACATCCGCTTTGGGATGCCACCATCTTCTGACAGTGCTGTCTGCCGACCCGCTGAGCTCCTGTCGACTCTCCCACAGCTCTGCTTCCCTCCTGCCACCCCGTGAGGGGTGGAAATGGCTGAGAGGAGGAAAAGGAGAAAAACCTTTGCCAGCCGTGTTCCTCCTGCACCTCCCCGGGTACCCCCATGGGGTTCAGGTCCCTCCTGTACCACCGCCCCGGGGTCCTGCTGATGTTGCACCTGGGGCTCAGCTGACCTGCACCCCGAGGCTGGCACAGAGGGTGGTGCCAGCTGTGTTTTACAGCTTGCTGCGTCAGGAATGTGCCTGGGACAAACTGCCACGCAGGATTTAAAGACCTACCATAGGGCCATCCTTCCTAGCAGGTCTGGTGGCGAATGCCTAGACCTTGACCTCACGATGCAGCCCAGTTATTACTATCTCTGTTGAAGGAAGGTTGTGCTCAGGCCACCGGGAGAGCAGAGCTTTTTGGACACGTCTGATGTGTTTCAAAGTGTTTCTGAGCTGTCCCTGGCTTCCTCTGCCGGGCAGGGAGGAGTTAAGATGGGAAGTGTAATGGCACTGATGTGTGCGTCAGGTGTGCCTGCGTCACCCGGCTCCTTGGCTGCTTCCCAAGGCTGGGGCTGAGCTCTCTTCACCCCTCACCACCACTAGGAAAAGCCTGGGACGCGTGTAGCCTGGCGGGGGGGGGACATGGACTCCGTGTCGGTCTGTTCAGCTCTCCCGGGAAGCGTGCGGCTCCCCATGGCCAGCCCCAAACCCCTCTCCAGTGCTCGCACACCCAGCTGGGGTACATCTGTGCAGCCGTAGGTACCCCCACGAAGCAGCAGCCCGTGAGCAGAGCCGCTGCGGGTGAGCATCACCCCATCCCCACGCTGTCACAGCAGCCCACGCGCAGCTCAGCACCGCTCCCACCCCGCAGAGCAGGCACAGCTCTCGCTCCCAGACCCTGTGGACAGGGATGCTGCCTCACAGGAGGGCAAACCCCAGCAGGACCTCTCCTGTGACAGCCCAGCTGCTGGAGGGTTGTGCAGCAGGATGCTTTCACTGTTTCTGCAAGGAATCAGCAGCACTGGACGCAGGAGCATTCTCTGCTCCTCCTGCCTTCACAGGGATGTCCCCAGAGCAGAGGAGGGCCAGCCCATACCCCGAGGAACTGCTCACCCCAGCCATCATCAGACCCCCCAGAGCACCTTTTCTGGTTGCAGGTGGGTTTCAAGCACTGGGGCCCAGCACAGGACACAGGCAGCACATGCTGACCCCATCCCTGCCCCCTCCCTCCTGCAGAGCTGCCAGATCAGATCATGCAACACACACACAAGGGTTTTGCAAGAACAGCTTTTAATTCAGCATTGGACACATATGTGAGTAGTCTATGTGAAATGAAGTGCATCCTTTGCTCTCGTCCTGGCCGGGCACCAATTAGACTCTGACTTTCTTCTCAGGCTCACTGTGCCAAGAAAGCATGGAAGAAACTGGCTGTTTGGCCCCGGATGGTTTGCAGCCTTTGGGCATCAGCAAGACACCTCAGTCCTCCCATGGGAAGACTTGCCACTTGCCCACCATGGGACACCCCTCCCAGAAGGCACGGGAGGTGTCCCAGCAGCCCCAGCCCACCGCCGCAGCCATCGCAGGGCCGGGGGCCTCCTCCAGGCTGGTACCGGGACCCTGCTCACCCCCCAGTGCTAAGTGACAGATGAACACGGCGCAGCCACAGCGCTCATTCCTGTGCGACAGCGAGAGGCTGAAGACAGCGTTTTTGGGAGATCGCTGGTGTCCAAGTGCCAACACTTCTCCATCCCTGTCCGACTCGCCTGCACTGCTGCCCACAGCGGGGCTGGGCAGAGCCCGTGGGACACAGGCCCTGGGGGAAGGAGGCCTGCAGCTACCTCCACCTTTAATTGCTGAAGGCGTCAGGATGGCCCAAAACACGTGGAGGAGATGCCATCCCCCATCACAGGCTGCTTGCCATCAGGTCCGTGGGCCAGTACTGGTCATCCATGTACTGGCTGCTGTCTGTGGGGGGAGCTGTGATGGGGCTGGGGGGCTGGGGGGGCAGGCTACGGGCCAGCTCCATCTCCCACTGCACCTCCACCAGTCTGTACAGCTCCATGGCTGTCCGAGCATCCTCCACCGACGAGTGCCCTTTGCAGCCGACCTGAACAAAACGGGGAAAACCTCGTTAGATAAAGGGGGTGGCAAAAATCCCACAGGTCATGTCTGCTTGCTTGGAAGGACACAAGAGCTGGGGGTTTTGGAGACAGCAAAGGTTCGATGCAGCCAAGGAGATGCAAGCATCCCTTGAGCACTTTCTGGAGGGAACAGGTCCTGTCTCTGCTTACTGTAATGCTTAACGATCAGCTTGGGAAGTCCTGGGCTCCCCTAGCCTGATCATAGCTGTGAGCACAGAATGAACAAGGTTCATCTCCATCTCACAGAGAACACCCACGGAGATGGGCTGATCACACAGCCTCATAGCAAACCCAGGAACTGCTCCCCATCTCAAGATTCCTGGTGGTTACCTGGATCTTCTTCTGGAGCAGGTGCCTGGCCAAGCTCTTGAGCGAGATGCTGGCCCTGCCGGGCAGCCCTGCCCTCTGGTTCAGCACAGGGATCCGGCTGGTGTCTCGGGTCCTGTCTTTTGGGTGGAAGTACTTCAGGGCTTGGAAGTCATTGTGGATGGCGTGTCCTACCACAATCTTGTCTTTCAAGATCTTCAGGATCTGGAAGCGTCAGAAAGGGTTAGGTGGTACAGCAAAAGAAACACCAATTAAACATAAAATAAACCATTCTGTTTTAAATTCAGTTCCTTCTGTTCTAGTTTTCATGTTCCCAGAATGGAGCAGCAACATGCAAACCAACCCACTGCACAGCTTCAGAGGCTCCCTGCCCTGCTTGTGTCTCTGCTTCAGAGCAGCTCAGCACGGGCCACCAAATACCCCAATTAGTGGCCGGCAGATAACGCATAGCCCTTTCTTCTTCTCATATAATTTTTCCTCACCTCAGCCTGGGCAGCCTTGAAGGGAATAGCATTCTTCATGTGCTGCTTGGTGATGCCACTCCAGCGCGTCCGGTAGTCCACGATGGGGAGCTCGGGCTGCACGTACTTGTCGTAGATGACGTCCCCCTCGTAGTTCACCACGGAGCACCGCGCCAGCTCGCTCAGCCTGCCCTGAGGACCGGTGCCCACCATTTCGCAGTCGATGGCCACGTACTTGCCCGGACGCAGGAGCGGGGAGAACGTCTGCACCCCCTCGGAGCTGCCATTCCCCTGGGACAGCAGCACGGAGTGGTGCCTGGCTACACTGTCCGGAGAGGCAGACGGCGACAGGGATGAGGTGACAACTTGTTTGGCCTTGGGGACCTTGGGGAGCGTGCTGCGTGCCCCTGGCCCCGCAATGCTGGCCGGGCTGCCCAGGCGCCGGCCCAGCAGC